TTTGAAWAACACCCTGAGGCCTCAGGCTGCTATGAAATAGAGCTTTAGCACCTAAGACTTGATGAGCTGCTTGCCTAAACCAGGCTTTTCTGGCAATAAGCTCGGCTCTGCAGCAGGGCCTGTTGCAGCACAGCTGTGCTCGGTGTGCCAGTGAGAAACTGTCACCTCACACCCACAGCAGCACTCACAGGGTCTGTGCAGGGCCCTGGGGGACAAAGAACCTGCTGGGGCTGCAGCAAGACTGGGCTGGCTCCTGTGAACATCATTAGTTCTTGAGAAAACTCCCCAAAATCCAGCGGTGCTCAGCAGAGTCTCTGGTGAGTGATGGCCAAAACACAAATCCTCAACACTCAGGATATGGAGAGAACTTGGTGTCCCTGGGTCTCAGGATGTCTGGGTTGGAAAGGACCCTAAAGTTCATCCCATTCCACTCCTGCCATGGGCAGGGACATCTCCCACTATCCCAGGCTGCCTCAAGCCCCATCCAGCCTGGTCTTGGACACTTCCAGGGATCCAGGGGCAACCACAGCTGCTCTGGACCCACTGTGCCAGGGGGGAATTTCTGCTGTGTATCTGAATTTCCCCTCTGTCCATGTGAACTCATCCCCCCTTGTCCCATCACTTCCTGGTGAACAGTCCCTTTCCAGCTTCCTCATAGTCCTTCAGACCCTGCAAAGTCTCTTCCTGCAGAACCTTCTCTAGGCTGAGCAGCCCCAGCTCTCCCAGCCTGTCCACAGGGGAGGTGCTGCAGTCCCCTAAACTCCTCTGGCCTCCTCTGGTGTCATTGCAACAGTTCCATGTCCTGATGCTGGGGACACCAGCACTGGACACAGCACTGCAGGTGGGGTCTCAGCAGAGCTGTGTAGGACCAGATAAATGGGGTGCAGCCCCCAAAACTTCCACTTCATGGCTGAATTAYCCCCCTGGGAGGGCTGAGCTTGAGGTCAGGCTTGGAAGGATTAAAGCTGCTTTGCCTGTCCTAATTCCAGGCCGGGTGGGGGATGGCTGTGCTGCCAGCTGTGGCACAGAGCCCAAATGCCAGCACTGATTGAAGCTTCCAGGCTGCAACCGAAATAATTACAATATGGATAATTACAGTAACATGATTTCATTAACRTTATTTCTTCATTATAAGTATATATTTGTGATATTACCTAGGTAATGGGATGGGTGTATTTCCTGTCTTGACAGTAATTAGAGGCTCTCCACCTACCATGCCACCTCCCAAGAAAAWGATTTCTTATAGTCCAACTATTCTGTTTACTTAAATGTGTTTTCTCTCTTTTTGTGCCGTGACAGGCCTGAATTCCACCTTCACAGATATGAAAGTGCATTTCCTGTCTGCAGACACATTCTCACTGTGGATTTTCTGCAGAAAAGTTTGGGTTCTCCTGAGCTTTCCCATTTTAAGGCTTGTTGATGTTTAAATCTGTTGTGGGTTAAATCCCTGGGTGAACACCTGATTCTGGAACAAGGAACTTGCCCTTGGTGGTTGTAGTTTTTGTCATCTCATGTTCTCAGCCCTGGGCACTATTAATCCTTCATTTTTTCTTTTAAAAAAGAGGAATGCAGAAGCCTCACTTCAGGCCACCTTGGGCATTGTCACTCAGCCTCAAGTTGGAAGCATTACAGTTCTGCCTTCTCATATCATGACAAGAAAAAACCCCAAACAGGCGGGAGGGTCAGACTTTTCATACAAACCAAAGCCAACACTTCCGTGAGTGGGGCTGCAGCTGCTGCTCCCTGCCCGTGAGCAGCCCTGGGGGACAGGAAGGGCTCTCTGCTTATCAGATCCATCAGTGCCTTACTGTGAGCCTTACTGTGAGCTGCCTTCCTGTGGGGATGAGTCCTCCTGCTCCCCTCACAGCTTCTGTGCTGCTGAGGAGTCGCAGGGCACTGCTGGGTCCCTGCGTGATGCTCCAAAGCCACATCTCCTCCCAGGAAGGGGCTGGGACAGCAGCAGGAACAGGCTGGGCTGTGKGCTTTGATGGTTTGTGTTCACTTAAACAAGAAACTTCTCATTCAACCAGAACCTCTGAGCTCTCTGAGTTGCAGCTTCTGTTCCWYTCAGGTCCCCTGGGAACTTTCTCTKGAGCTGTGCAGACCTTGGTGTGACCACAGGGAGTCACCACATCCTTAAATACCCAGTGTCCTGTGACTCCTGTRGAGTTTGTCCCAGATAATGGCACTGATCACAGGACTGGTGATCTGACAGCACATRGGAGAAATGAGTCAGCCAAAACAAGGGCTTGGATGGATTGAAATCTTTAAGTTTTTTCTCTTGGGACTTGTGGGAACACGAGTGAGGAGGCGAAGCTGCATGTTGTGGGTGATAAAAGCCATAACCTTCCATGAGCTGGAGACTCACCMAGACATTCCCTTTTCACAGCTCTGTTGGGCCACTGGGAAAGTGGGAGATGAGTTAAGACAGTGCTTCATTCTCACAATTCTTTCTGGCACTCCGTTACATCATTGTGTTCATCCTGCCATTTCTGGTTGCTTGGGCTTTTTATTTTCTTCCCTCAATTCTAGGGGGGAAAATGTGTGAATGGCAGGAAACTTAAGCAAAATGGCATCAAAAATTATCTCATGGCTTTATATAACCTATTTTTTTTCTAAATAAGATTTTTTGCCGCTGCTGTGGATTGTGTAGATCAAATTCTCAGAGTTTATCACCCCAAAAGCTGCGGCTCCTCTGCCCTGAGGAGCTTAACTGGCAGCATGAACCAACCACTGCCCAGATGGGTCCAGCTTATTTTTGGTCATGGTCTTAACCAAAACATCTCTGACAAGATTTTATCTTTTTGTTTTTGTACTTGATGGGGTGGGCTTGTGTTTGGGTGTTGTTTTTTTAGGTTTTGAGGTCTGAGGAACAGAGTCCAGCAGTGCCGGGGCACTCTGTGCATTTACACTCCACAAAACTGGGGCCAAGGCTCGTTTTTACCAGTAAAGAGAAAAAGGAAGTAAACAGTGCAGTAAAAAGTGTCAAAGCAGCCTTAACCCCAGCAGGAAAATCTAACGAGTTACAGAGAAATGGGGACTMTGCTCAGGATGTTGAGCAACCATGTGACAAAACAGCAAATCAAACAGTGCTGGTAAAAGAAAAGATGTGTGAGGGGGACAAAAATTCTCCTTTGGTAAGAGAAGCTGTAAGTCAGCTCTTTTCATGGTGAAAGGAGAAATTTGGTGTTCCATGGATGGCTCATGGTGATGGCAGAGGATGAAGAGGGCACTGGAAATGCTGGRGGACACGTGGCCCTGCTCCCCCCTCAGGGCAGGAGGTGGCTGGGGGTTCTGAGCATGGTGAGATGTCACCTTCCCCGAGGCCAGGGCACAAACCCTGCAGAGGGGGTGAAAAGGGAACCAGCTGCTCACAGGGCAGGGGRCAGGGACCCCAAAGGAGCYRTCATGGGATGGCTCCCAGCCCAGCAGTGACATGGAGCTAAACCAGGGAATTTGTCCCCAGCAGCCCTCAGGGATTACTGGGGCCTCRGGCTGGTGCCARGCAGGTGGGTGGGCTCTGATCCCAACAATCCCTCCTGCCAAGGGTGAAGGGGAGGACGGGCAGGACTGTGCTCCCACCCTGTGCCAGCTGGCACTGCCGTGTGGTGCTGAGTCTCAGCATGCCCAGCAAAAGCCCCGAGGAAGCTGTGGTGTCTCTTCCCACAGGGACAGTGGCAGAGGAGGAGGCGGTGCCCGAGGGATGAGAGGTGGCACAGCTGCTGCTGGGCTGGGAGTGCAGGGAGGGTGATGGAAATGGGGCAGGGTTGGAGCACAGCCCGAGTTCTGCATCCCCCAGGCCCTGCCATCCTCACCCACTGTGTACTGTGTGGCACTAGGGCTCCCAAAACACTCCCTGCTGGTTCTGAACAGCTCCAGCTCCCCAAGCAGCCCTCAAACCACTCCTGAGGCTGCCACAACAGCTTTTCCTTGGGCCCAGCATGAATTAAACCCGATTCTGTGCCCAAAAGCCCCTTGTCACTTCAGCACAGAGCCAGCCTGGCGAGGGCACTGGCAGAGACCTCAGTGCTTTGCTGCTCAGTGATAACAACACCCTGGGGGAGAGCTGCAACCTTCCCGAGGAATAAAGGGGATATTTGGGGTGTTGTGTTCTCAGTTCCATCCTCATTCAGATTCCCATTGTAGTGCTGCAGACCGGATTATTCAGACCGTTTTAGAGACTCACAGAATATTCTGAGTTGGAAGGGACTCACAAAGATCGTTGAGCTCAGCTCGTGGATCCTGAGACAATGAAAATACAAGGGCACGGCAAAAATACCCATGGCATGACAATCCACCTCCTGGTAAKCTGAGGAATATCTCCATTCTCCAGTTGTTTGTGGCAGCATCTCCAGGGGYTTGTGAGACCTCAGTGTGGGCCCAGCAGATCCCACCTGGAGCAGGGGTGCCCTGGGGGAGGGCAAGGAGGGCTCCCTGGAATTAATTTCATGTCCCCAACCCCGATTATTGCACCAGTTTCCTGTACAAAGAGATARTTAACCCTAATTTGAATAAGCCCCGTAGCCGTGGCAGGGGGGGAAGGCGCCGCTGCACCCGCGGGATTTTCTGGGTGCAAAACTTCAGCCGGTTGAGGTTTCTCTCGCTGAACAATTTCTGAACTTCTGACACCTCTTTATGTAACAGCTTTAYACCCTCAGGAGCTAAAAGGGACTCTGGGGGGGTTGGACAGGGCCACCCTGCTCCCTTCCCATGGGGGCCAGAGAGGACAGGGATGGGCTGGATTCCTGCAGCTGGAGCAATTCCGCTATCCTGGGAAACCTGTTCCTTGGCTTTTCTCCCCAGTGCAAGAAAAAGGGTAAAATAATCTTGGAAAAGCATCCAAAATGTTCGGTAGGTGCTCAAGAGGCATCAAATCCAGGTGCTGCCAYATGTTCGTGTGGATTGGTGATGCAAGGGGGAGAAGAATCCAAGAATTACATTTAAAAAACGTTTTTAGAAATTATTATTTTATTATATACAACAGGAAATATAAAAATAAATATTTTCTTTKGTCATTGTGAATGTGCTTCGTGGTTTCCATGAATTATGAGTCCTTGCTCAGCCATCAGGCACTGGCTCAGATTCCTGTAGGGAAGAGGTGGTGGAGTTTTCTTTAATTGTATGAAAGAGTTTTTTAAAAGAAAAAAAAAACTTCCTGTGTTCTGACACACTCTGGGCTTCACATAATTTTCCTACAATGTGCATTTCCCTCGTATAAATTATAAAACAACATTTGCATAAATAAAAACTGATACTGTCACAGTATTTTACACTTCAAAATGTAACATTTCCATCACAAAAAAATAATGTTTAACAAGAAGGTGCAAATGAAATACCAAAGTCAAGCCCAAAATCTCTGTGGTTCGAATTGAAAGAAAATTCTTTAAATTAAAAATTGATTATTAAAAATTSATCCATATTTGAGCCTTAGTTAAAAATCTCTCATGGCACCTTTGACTCTGCTTCCAGGGAGTTCCCATTACAGCAAACTTTGGAAAGGTTTGGATCTTTTGTGTTTGAATCCTGCTGCTATAAATGAGGAGTGGATGGGATGGCTGTGGGTCAGTTATTAGGGAAAGGGAAATAATTTGCCCCATTTTAGTGAAAAGAGGACCTGAAAGGCTTGATGGGCACCTGGCATGAATAAATACCCTCCAAGCACAATCCTGTGGTTCAAACTTATCCAAGGCATGGCTCAAACCTTGTCTTTCTATCCAGAAGTGGGAACTGATGGCARAAAAACAGCATGTGGGAGCTTTGCTGCCTGTGTGATTTGGGGTGATGGTGTTTGCTGCCCCCCAAAATGAGGCTTCATTAATTATTTAAATGGGAACTCCTTTGGGGCCACCTTCTGCTCCTCATTCTGTGCTCAGCACGGAGCAGGCTCTTGGAACTGTCTGGAGAGCCAATCTCTGCTGGATTGTCTTGTGCTTTATGAACAGAGAATATTGTGGCATCCAGGACTTTTTAGGATCAAATTCCCTCTGCATAGCAAGACCCAAATCTTTGCTGCCTCTTGATGAAATGCACACCCAGCACATGGTGGGAGGATGCCACAGGTGACAATGGGGCACGGTGGCACCTCTCCTGTGGGTCCGTGACCTCCTGCTGCCTAGCTTAGGAATGGAAATGCTCTTGTTTATATTCGGTGAAAATTTGCAACTGAAGTGTTAAATCAACACCTTTTTGATCAGGTTTGGGTTTTTTAGGGGGGGTGTTTGTTCATTCCAACCCTCACTGAAAACACAAGTTTGAATTCTTATTCCCAATGTCCTGARGGAAGAAATTGTAGCAAATGCCAAAATCTAATGAAAATGGGAAGTGCTGGCAGCTGCTGGGGAAGGGCAGCTCTGGTATTCCGTGGTGTCCTCCCCGAGCACATCCCTGCAGTGCTTCCTGCCATATCCAAGGTGCTGGAGCTGGATGCTGTCCAGCAGGTCCTGCCTGGAGAAGCGCCTCCGGAACTCATCCGTGGTGAAGTAGTAAATGATGGGATCCACRCAGGAGTTGAGGCTGGCCAGGCACAAAGCCACAGCATGGAACGTCGAGATCTGCACGCAGCCCTCCCGGATCTGCCTGGTTTTCACAAAGAAATCCAGCGGGAAGCTGATGTGGTAAGGTGCAAAGCAAATGAGGAACACCAGGGCGCAGGTGAGGATCATCTTTAAAGCCTTCTTCTTCTCGCCCAGGTCCCGGGAAGCAGAGTTCCTCTCTTTCAGTGACAAGATTGTCTTCCAGGAGCAGTAGAGGATGATGAGCAGGGGGCTCACGAACCCCACCAACTCCCCCAGAGTCATCAGCATGATGGAGGTGGGGAGGTCRAGTGTCTTGATGGGAAGATCCACGAAACATGTGTTGCTGTTATCCTGGTGCTGCCTGAGGAGTGGGAAGGGCAGGCAGCCCACGCAGACCACGACCCAGCCCACGATGCTGATGTAGACRTCGCAGACGCGCCGGCAGTCGCTGAATTTGAAGGGGTGCATGAGGAACAGGTACCTCCTGACGCTGATGCACACCAAGAAATAGATGCTGGCGTACATATTGACGTACTTCAGGTAGAAGCAGAGCATGCAGAGACCTCCTCCCAACTCCCACCTGCCCGTCAGGTAATAAAAAATCCTCAGGGGCAAGGACAGCACCTGCGATAAGTCAGCAATGGCTAAATTGATCATGAATATCACGGCCCTTTTAGTCTCTTTCATGTAGCCGTAGAAGACCCACAAGGCCAGGGTGTTCCCGATGAGCCCGGGGATCAGGATCACCGTGTAGGTCACGGCGTAGTAGGGCTTGAGGTCTGGCTCGCTGCAGTTGGAGCTGTTGGTCATGGTGGTGCYCCGGCTCCGTGCTCATCGTAACGCGTCCATCCCGCCTGTCCTGCAGCCAGGGCAGCCCTGGAATCAGTGTGGGAGGCTCTGCTCACCAGTTCATCACAGGGAGCTTCAGTGGGGGGAGTTAATTCGGGTGCTGCTCTCATGCCCTGCTCATGCTGTCGGTCAGAGCTCGCTGGGGTCACGGAGCCACAGCGGGAAAAGCATCGCCGTGTGCCCAAGAGGGCAGTTCCTCAGCAGAGCTGTGCCTCTGTCACCTTTTGGGTGGCATTTCACAGGAATTCGACAGCACCGTGGCCCTGCAGCTGGAAGAGAGAAAGGTGCAGCTGGAGCATTGCTGGRACACAGGGGTGGAACAGAGCAAGGGATGTGGGAGAGCTGGATGGAACTGGAGTGTGTCTCCAGCAGGAACCTGTGCGCCTGTGGTGGTGGTCAGCTCTTGTGCGGCCCAGCAAGCACCACACCCTGCCCAGTGGAGGAGCAAAAGCACCAAGGAATAAACAGAAATGGTGTTCAGTTTCTGCTACAAGCCCGGGGCTGTTGTTTTTCCTATGCCCAAGCACGYGGTCAGTGCTGAGGTGCCCCGGTGAGCGCCGGACCTGCCTCCCTCCCTCCCTCACCCCCACAGCCTCCAGAGGGGTTACTCCCCCAGCCTTCCCGGGAAAGCCCTCGGAGGGTTCCCATCCTCTCCAGTTGCAGGTGACAGAAGGAAATCTGCTCCTTTTGYCACRCATGTGGCGCCCAAGCCTTGTCCCCAGCAGAGTCACTGCTGTGTCACAGGGTGGAAGTCCCAGGTCAGTGGCTTTCACCAAACCAGGGCCAGCCTTTGATTTCACATTTATAAATAGCACATAACGCTTCCTTTGCACAACTGCCTGCATTTGATCCAGTCTGACCTGCTCACAGCTGCTTTTTCTGAGCCCCTCCTTGCCCGTCGTGCACATCTGGGGCTGTTGGTGATACCAGAAAGGGCACTGAGGAGGCTGGAGGTGGATTTTATTCAAATCCAAGGCAAGGCAAATGGGTGATGTTATCTGAACGTGTTAGACATGAAAACCTCAGCAAGATCTGATAAATCTAGAGGAAATTCAGATCTCTGCCCGAAAACCCCTCCGATTTGCCTTTGGCTTCCCCATGAAGAATTACCCTGCAGGTCTAAATGGGCAAAGTTTGTAGGCAYAAACCCAGATGCCAAAGGCACATTTGCTTAATTTAAAATGTTTTAATTTTTTAATTTAATTTTTTAAATTTTAGTTTTAAAGGTCAAATGACATCCTGCTGCAGTCCCTGCTGTTTTTTTCCCAGTGCTTAGGTACAAAATGTATTAATGATGTTCAACACTTGCTCGTGTGATGGCACTGAAACTTTGAAGTAGTTTTGGGTGGAAACAGAAAATCTGCTACAAGAGGAAATGTGTCTATTTTTGTATTTTCTCTCACCAAGGAGACTGTGATGYCTTCCTTCCTTCTAGAGAGGGAGCAACTAACCCAACCAATGGAGTAAAATGGCTCATGAAATGATCCTGTTATGCTTCAGAAGTGACAATTAATTATATTTTTATTTTAGGAATTTAATTTATGAATTTAATTCAGATTTTCAATATGAATTTAAACTAGCTTGTCTTTCCTCTCACCTGGTGGCTGGGGTTCCTGTCACCCACTCAGGAAGCCTCAATCATGCTCCTTTTCCTCTGGCTGCATTCCCAGGTGACAAAAACCCATCTGAACTCCATCTCTGGGCCGAGGGACACACAGGGGGAAGGACAAGGTGCAGCCCCAGCCCTTCCACATGTGCACATCGTGTTTCTCCTGCTGCTCCCCAGCCTTTCCCCATCCCCACTGCACAGCACCTTCCCTGGAACTGCATTCCCTGCTCCCTCCAGCCTGGCCCTGGGGCAGGGATGCACTTGCAGCACTCTCTGCCTGTCCCTGTGGCACGAGAGGTCCCTGGGGCCCAGCTGAATGTGGGGAGCAGTGAGGAGGCTCAGCCAGGCCACCCAGAGGCACCCCCRGAGCTGGGGAGGGGCTGACAAAATTCAGCAATGTGAGAAACGGGGCCTTGGAAATCCCAAGCAGCAACATCACCCAGTTCAGCCCCATGTGCTGGGTGAAAACCAGCAGAATGCTAAAAAAATCTCCAGAAAGAGGAAATTTGGGTTTGCGTGCTCTGTGCTCGCTTCCCCTGGCTGCRAGGGGGTGGGTGAGAGACTCTCCACAGGCTCCTTCTTCCCCTGAACTGCTTTTGCCCCCGACTTTTCCAAGAAGACCCCGCCAATCAGCCCCGTTGGGGCACTGGATGAAGATTTGTGCCTAAAGAGCAGGTGAGAGCTGCAGCCAGCCCCAAATCAGCTCCATAGAGCTGGCTCTGTCCTGTAAAGCATTTCCCATGTGCTGAGGGCAGTTGTGCATACATGAATGCACCTGCAGGGCTGGGGTGTGGAGCAGCCCCGCACATGGGCTCGGGTGGCTCTGCCAAACCCCCCCAGTGCTCAGGCTCCTCACCTGAGGGTGCTCAGAGGTGTCCTGGCAAATGGGGATTCTTGTTAAATCCTGGGGTTTTACCCCTCAGCAGCCCTCAAACGCAGCTCGTGGCTGGGCTCAGGCTGGGGGTGCTGTTCCTGCTGCCTGGAACCCTTTGGGATCTGCCAACAGCTCCTGCTGCTCCCTGGAGCCAGGGGAGGGACCAGCCTGGATGGATCCTCCACGAGCCCTGCTCCTGCTGCTGGCCCAGGTGAGCTGGGGGAGCTCAGCCCCCCTGTTCAGCTGGGGATGTGTTTAAAGGACACATAAAACCTGAGATRGGGTGACAGGGGTGCAGCAGCAGCACCCTGGGGTCCCCTGCTCACTTCCCTTCCCAGGGGAGCTGGGCTGGGCTGTGCCCGGCCCCTYTCTTGTGTTTTCCCTTCTTCTCCTCCTCCACAACCTAAAATAAAAGCAGAACATGCACAGGGGAAACATCAAATGGAAATTCAGTTTCCTGTGCCGGCAGAGGCGGGCTGAGGGYGGCTCTGTCCCTCCAAAGGGGCTCWKTGGGGAGGGGGCAACTGGCCCAGGGCTGGCCTGGGCTTCTCCCAACACCCACCTTGTTCTTGACCTCACCTGAAATGCTGCTGTCCTGCTTTGGCAGAAATAAAATTTACAAGGTATTAACTGAAAATAGAAATGATCAACCCAGAACCTGAATGTTGCACAGGGTTGTGTTTTTGTTCTTTTATCAAATGACAGAGGAAGAGCCTTCTCTGCCTCGAGGCAGTTATTGGGGATTTATCTTTCTCCATAGGAGCGATGGTGCCCCTTGCTGTGCTAACTGAATTCCAAGAATATGCAGGAAAAAATAAATGCTCTGGTTTAATGCCATGTGAAATACTCTGCTTTYGCCTTTTAATCCTTTGCAAAAGCTCTTGTCCTCCTTTGTTAATATTTATCCTGGTTAAGAAGGAAAATAACCCRGAGCAGCAGTGCTGTGTGTCAGCCTAATCCCCCATCCTCCTTCTCCCTTCCTGGCACCCCCTGATATCCCTGTCAGATGTTCCTGGCACCAAAATTGTGAGTTTTCCCYCAAACCATCAGCACACGACCCCTGGGGAAGCACAGCCGTGTCCCGGTGATAACTCTGTCCTCTTCCTCCCSGATTCTTGCAATTAAATGGAAAATGGCCCACGGAGAATCGATGTGGTGCCAATAGTGAGGAACTGACCACTTGGGAAAATCCCTGGGACAAACAGAGTGAGAAAAGCCCAAGGAAAACCTGGAGCAGTGAGAATTGGGTCAGTTATCCCTGGGCTGGGGGGATGGGGCTGTGTGGCCTCAGAGGCCCCTTCCAGACCGGTCCCATCCCARGGAGCGCTGGGTTTGCAAAGGCTGAGAACTGCTGGAGTCGGTGTTAATCCTTAAATTCAGCTGCTCACACAGTGGCAGCAAAAAACGCAACTTGAAACTTCAGGGCCGGGTGTTTCAGCTTCAGCCATTGCCCGCCTCTTCCTCAGATGCTCAGAGCATCCCATGGGCAAGCWCAGGAACACTTCCATAAATTAATTTTGAGTCCTTACCTATCCCTGGGCTTCCTCTGCGTCTCCTCGCTTCTCCCGGTTCACTTCGGGAGTTACACCAGCTCTGTGGTGAAGGCAGGACCCTCCTGGCTCTCCCTGGGCTGTCCCATCCCTCTCAACCCTTCCGGTGCAGCCGCACCAAATCCAGGGCACAACAATCCCAAAACGCGCCCAGTTGAACCCCCCGAGCCCGAACTGAAGGTTCCCGGGATAGAAGATCTCCAGCCCTACCTTTGGCGGCCCGGAGGCTGCTCGGGCGGGTCCCCACGGCCGCTGCCTCCCTCGCCGTGCAAAGCAAAAGCGCAAGTGGCGGGGAGCGGCTGCGCCGTGGGGAGCGCCGGGCACGCCGGGGCCCCGCTGGCCCCGCTTGGGGTGTCCCAGCCCCGCGTCCCGCCTGGAAGGTATTTTACATCCGCTTCCCTTCTCTTTTTGTGGTTTTGGAGATGCTCGGGATGGTGCCCACAGTCTCGGGGTGTTCTGGTTGCTGTTGTGCTGCTGAGGTCGGTGTCACCCCAGGAGCTGTTGCTGCTGTCAGGTGTGGTGTTAGGGGGGTTTGATCCCTCAGCTCCCGGGGACAAGGACCCGCCGTGACAGGCACGGAGCTGAGGCAATTAGAGGATTCATCAATTATCCCCCTTCCCCAGCTTTCTTTCTTTTCCTTCCCTTTTCCTGGATATTTTCACTCCTCTGCTGCAGTCCGGTGTTTTGGGGGACTTTAGGATCCTCCTGAAGCTGATCGCGGGCAGTTTTGGGCTCCCCAAAASCAGCGAGTTCTCCGTGCTCATTATTATCTTATTCAGGGAATTCCCACAGCTCTCGTGGAGCAAACCRGGGCGAGAGCCGAGGGCTCTTTTTTCCAAACGTGCCATGAGCTTGTGTCACCCACGGCCACATTCCCGTCCATCGCGTCCCCGGCCATCGGCAGAGGGCAGGGTTGGACCGGCAGCGCTTCCCTGCTTATCCAGCGGAGGATCCAGCGCCAGAAACATTAACGAGAATTCTTGTTAAGTTCGAGGGTAATCAACGATTCAGTTGTTTCATCTGAAAAAGTGACTTTTAAAACAATTTCCGGAGAAGTTCTGAAGTGAATTGAAACTTTTAAATTTGCATTTCTTCACTTTTCTTACACATCTTCCCAGAAGAACATATATACATGTGTATATATATATTTCATATGTATTTCATATATATTTCATATATATTTCTTTATGTATATATATTTATATACATTATGCCTTGATTTGTAGGGAAGGTTCCAGCTCTGTGAAGGGTCCTAGAGCAGTGAGGTGTCCCCACAGCCATGTCCCCAGCCCAGTGTCACACACCTCCAGCAGGTACTCYTTTAAAGCCTCATTGATTTATTCATATCACAATTCCAGCTCAGCGTTTGTAGCTCTCTGTGCTCTTTTTTATTCTGGTTGAGAGGAGATTGATGGCTCTCACATGTCACACGCTTTGTCACCTTGTGGTGGCCCAGCCCCTCTCTCAGGCTCTGTGGATCACATTTCCCAAAAATGCAGCCGTTTTCCAGCAGCTGATCCTCCTGCTCGTTAAAATTTCCAGCTTTATTTTGGAATTGCTGATGGGCTTTAATTAAAGTGGGAGTCAGAGCTTTCAGCGCTGTGGGATCTCTTCAGAGCTGTCCCTATGGTGCACAGCTGGATTTTGGGCTGGATTTTGGGCTGGCAGCAGTGAGGGTTGGGGTTTGGGGTCTAAACGGGGCTCATTGGTGTTGTGATCCCACTGAGCTCTCAGTGGAGGGTGCTGCCCCAGCTCACGTCRGTCCTGGGGTGTTTCCCTAATTTCAGCAGATTCTGGGATGTGAAACTTTCCCAGCACCTCCCAGCATCTCGCAGCAGCTGCTCTCTCACACTTTGCAAAATGCTCTCATTAGTTCCTCTTCCCCACCCCAAAACTGTGGGATGTGACCCCTGGGGGTCCCCAAACTCTGCCCCTGCCCCGCCAACCTTTCCCTGTGACCCTGCACCTCCCTGCCTCCTATAAGGACTGAGGGGATGGTTTGGAAGTGACTTCCATTGGCAATAAAATTGAGGGCAGTCCTGGGCACCATCAGCTCCTGGGGCTGAGATGGGTTTGGGGATGGGCTCCTTTGCTTTTCCCACTCCAGCTCACGATGGATGCTCCATTTCCCTTCCCTTGCCCAGCAGCCAGCCTGGCTCTGAGCAGGCAAAGCCTGAGCTCGGGGCAGTGAGGGGATGTTTTGTTTCAGAAACACCATGCAGGGCACCCCCACATCCTATTTTGGTGGTGCCATGCTCTGTGTGCATGGCCAGCAGCACCCATCCCATTYCCCATCCCTCCAGGAGCATTCCTGGGATGTGGGATGGGGACTGAGGATGCCTTTACTGACAGGCAAATGCCAGTCTCCAAATTCTGTGTCCCCAGG